GGGCACCAGTTTGTGCCCATGGACACCCACCCACCCCGCCCAGTTTGCATGCTGGTTGCTGGAAGGATCACGCTAGACACGCCACCTCTGAACTGAAGCAATTTCCAAAGCGGGCGTCTTGTTAGCCTGTCTCAGTATAATTTTTTTAAAAGAGGGAAAACTCAAAGGAAAACCAGTATGAAAGGCCGAGAAACCTAATTTTGATCCAATAACGGATTATAAAACAAAGTTTGCTCTGGGGGGGCTACAATTTTATTACTAAAACATGATGATAATGGGAATAACGGCCTATCCATCTCTGTTTTGTACATTTTTCCTTTGCTCCTCCGTCACCTTTTTTTAAAAAAAACCCGGCTCCGCTCGTGAAGTTTGTAAGTCCAGCCACATACCAACGGTTAGCTCCCAGTGCAGAAACGGGGCTCCTAGATGCCCGGGAGACAAAACCTCGCCCATGAGGCTTTAATGCTAAAGAACTCTTAAATGGTTGTTGTGGGTTTTCCGGGCTCTTTGGCTCTTTGTTCTGAACGTTGTTCTTCCTGACATTTCACCAGTTTTTCTGGCCAGCATCTTCAAAGGACTGGAGTAGGAGCTCTGTCCATGCTCTAAACAATGTTCAGAACATGGCCAAAGAGTCCGAAAAACCCATAACAACCATCAGGTCCCAGCCGTGAAAGCCTTTGAGAATACATTGAACTCTTAAATCTTGGTATAAACGAGCAAAGGCCACTGGGAGTATAAAAAGGGGAGCTTTCAGCTGGTAAACCTCTCGGTTGTGCCAACTGACAACCACCCTTCAATATGTGCCCCCAACTCTCCTCCAATAAACTCGATGCCTAGTTCCGAGTGCAAAAGCCGCAAAACGGTTTGGGAACATTGCTCTCTGCTCCACGTGAATCCCACTTGAGGTGGGTGCGAGTTCTGTTTGTTCTCAGAGGCGTCATTTAGGGTTGACTTGGTGTCTTTCAAGCAGGATCATGCCTAGCCTCAACTTGAGGATAAACAGAAGCCAATTAAATCCATCACCACCACCCTGGGAAGGCAGGCAAGACTGGAAAATGCAGAGGCAAGAACTACGGTTCCCACAATGCACTGCATGAAATACCACCAACCTCCCCACAAACACTCTGCACCGTGAAATATAACAAGTCAGGACATGTCTGCCCCCTGGCTTCCACACCCATTTCCTACACTTCCCAGCATGCCACCTGCCACCGCCTTGAAGCAAAATGGCCATGCCCCAATGCCTTCTGGGGCATGTAGTTTTCACAGGCGCTTTGCGGCCGCTTTAGAGGACTAGAGCCGAGAACTGAAAAAAAAATGCTGCCGCCACCCCCCACCCCGCATAAACTCGACCTTCCCTCCCGGGAGGCGCCTTCTTTTTGGACAACAGAGACCGCCTTGTGGAGCGCACGCCTCTTTGGAAAAGAAAGAAAAAGGAGGAGGCGAGCAAAAAATTGCACAAAAAAATTACTCAGCATGTTTCTGGAGCGCCGCTTAGGCATGGGTCCCCCCTTTCCTTTCCTGGGCTTCCTTCCTTACCCCCAAACCAACCACCCCCACCCCCCCAACAATGCAAAAGCTAGAATGACTTTATCCGAAACCTGGGGCAAACCGTTTCAGGGTCGGTTCAAACCAAGGGGAGGGGGCAGGGAGAGAGGGGGGGGCGAAAGGAGGAGATCCCGAATTAAAACTCACCTCTTTCGCGGGCGGGATGTAG